CTGTCTCTATGGTGAACACACACACCCTATAACAAAAATCTCTCAAAAAAAAGATTTTATGTAACTTTTGTTATTATCATTTTTTAAACTGAGCAGAGAGAAACAGAGAGAGAGAGAGGGAAAGTGAGAAAACAAACCACCAGGACTTGAACCACTTTCAGCCATCTGGGAAGTCCAACGCCCTTAAAAACCACCCCATGTGTTGGCCCTGAGTTCAGTGAATTTTGACCCATGCAACTACTGTCAGAAGTACAGAGCATTTTTTCAATACTTGAAGTTCCCTTGTATCCCTATCAAAGACCATCGTTACAGTTTTTCCTGTTCTGTGGAGTCATATAAATGGAATTATAAGCTGTAATTATGTGTGTACATTTTGTTCACTCAACATAAGGTCTTGAGATTCATTCATGTTGATGCACATATCAGTTGTCTAGTCCTAATTGCTGACTTCTGTTTAATTTTATGTATATTACAATTTATCTTCCACCTGTTGTTGGACACTTATTTCCAGTGTGTGGTTTTTACGAATGAGGATATGATCATTGTTGTCTACATTTTCAAATGTTATCAGGATATCTTTGGGAGTAATATTTTCCTATTATTCAAATCTATAGTGTTCCTAAAACATTTCAGTATTTAAAGATCTTTAATATCATTTATCTCTCTAGATAATAAAGCTTTGTTATAAGCTTTTCAGGACTAAGGAGCCTACGGCTTATAGGATTTAGCACAAAGAATGGAATAGTATCTTATCAAGAAAACCACATCTACATTTATCATTTTAACTACATTATTGCTTAGGATAAAAACATTAAAGATGGCTAAGATTTGAAAAAATGTTTCCCCTCAAAATCAATTTCTCTGCAATCTTCTTCAAATCTCATCCCCTACGGGTTAAAAAAAATTAACCTTGGGTTATTTTTCCAAATTTCTTCTGTGTGTGTGTATGGGGAACAATAGAACAGTATTACTGAGGTATGAAACTTTATTCTTGACTGCAAACTACATGCCTGGGTTTAGCAGTAAGGACACTTATGCCCTTTCTCAATGTCAAGGTATCACTCCTGTTGCCAAAGGAGGTGAAGGGAATTGTTTCTCAGACAGTATAAGTCCCTTTAGTAGGAGGCATGTTATAAACGTAAAATTGCAGTTAGTTGTCTGTTCCTTGGCAGCAAGCAAATTATCTCTATCCCAGGTAGGAGTGGTAGACTGAAGTAAATTTCAATGTACAAACTCCAATCCTTTACAGGCTTGGGAAGGAACCTTCTTTTGTAAGAAAAGACTAGGTCTTCTGCTACGGACATGAGTGGTTTGTTAGGACAGATTACTAGGGGGTATCATCCAGGTAATGAAATGTTCAATAACACTTATTATTTTTTAGAGAGATTTTTGTGCATAGGACAAATGCACTCACTATAGAGGCAGACAGAAAGTGAGAAATCACCCCCAAGGAGGGATGGCCATGCTGCAATCCCTTCTCCTCCAGTCTCCTCTTAGGATTTTGGGCATAAGCATGCACACATGCTTGGCATGAATTTCAAGCCACCAGGTCTGGCCTCCAACTGCAGTTGACTACTGGTAGTCCAGCAATGTAACCATTATGCCATCTGCTGGTCCTGATTATTATTTTTTGAGAGGTTTTTGCTTTAGGGTGCATGCACTTGCCGGAGATAGAGAGACAGAAAGCAAGAAATCAACCCTCGGGGGAATGCCATTCCACAATTCCTTCTCCTCCATCCTTTTCTTAGGATTTTGAGAACACATGCACATGCACCCTGTGTGAGTTTCAAGTTGCTGGGTCTGGGACTCGAACTGTGTCCAGTGGCGAGAGAGTCCAGTGTCTTAACTCTATGCCACCTGATAGCCCTGAGATGATTATTAGATTTGTCCTATGGATTCTGTGGTCTTCAATGTAAAACAAGATTAATTTGAAAACATAAGGAAGAAAGAACCTTGGGATTACTAAAGGGCTAACTTTTTTAAAAAAGGCTGATAGTACCAAGTACAAATCTAAATTCTTTTTTTTTTAAAACCAATTTATTTATTTTTTGAGAGGTTTTTTGCTATAGGGTGCGTGCACTCGCCAGACAGACAGACAGAGAGAGAGACAGAGAGACAAAAAGCGAGAAATCACCCCCCCCCAGAGGGGATGGTCACGCTGCAATCCCTTCTCCTCCATTCTCCTCTTGGGATCTTGGGCACACACACACACGCGCCCGGTGTGAGTTTAAGCCACCAGGTCCAGGACTCGAACCGCAGTCGACTACGTGGGAGTCCAGCGACATAGCCATTACACTAACTGCTGGTCCCAAATCTAAATTCTTTAACTGCTACACACAGAACAATCTCTAGTGTGGCATTAGATTAATGGTGGGTACCTTGAAAATAAGGTCAGAATAAACAGAAATTACAACACATACATAATAATGATAATAAACAAGACATTTATTTTTCATACTCATTTGGGGGAAAGGAGAAGTCAGTTTGCCCTATCTGATGTAAGTCTTTCTCAAAAGATTCTCCATTAATTCCATAGAATCGGATAGGTTGCTTGATCTCAGATAATTTTGTATTCTTAATTCATAAAATGAACTTCCTTTGAAGAGTGGTCAAAGGGTGAGCCTTTGTGAGCAGCTTCGTTGGTGCACAGCCAGACTCCCTCTCTGGGTGAAGCTTTTTCCACACTGATCACATCTGTAGGGCTTCTCGCCGCTGTGAACTCTTCTGTGAACAGCAAGGTTACTTTGGTTCCTGAAGCTCCTCTGACAAATAGCCCACTCGTAGGGTTTCTGTCCAGTGTGGAGTCTCATGGACAGCCAGACTACCTTGTTGACTAAAGCTTTTCCCACACTCCATGCACTGATACGGCTTCTCTCCTGTGTGTATTCACTGATGTGTCACAAGATTGCCTTTGGCCCTGAAGCTTTTTCCACAGTGGGTGCATCCACAAGGCTTTTGACCAGTATGGATTCTTCCGTATAATGTTTTTCCCACACTCCTTGCACTGATAGGGCTTCTCTCCTGTGTGTATTCGCTGATGTGTAACAAGATTGCCTTTGGCCCTGAAGCTTTTTCCACAGTGGGTGCACTCAAAAGGTTTTTGACCAGTGTGGATTCTTTCGTGTAATGTTAGACTACCTTTTTGCCGGAAAGATTTTCCACATTCTTGGCATTCATAGACCTTCTGTCTTACTCCAGGTGAATCTTCCTGTAGTGTCTTAGAATCTGGGGATTTTTGTTCCAGCTTCTCTCTTCTGAAAGAATTCTGGAAGTCCCAGCTTGAGGATCCTGTGGCCTCAGAATGATCATATTTGTGGTGGGTTTCTGTCATCACATCTGGTAAAATGAGAGAAGTCATGTAAGATGCACCAATATGCTGAGTGAGAATAGGGAATAAAAAAAAACCCTTTTGAGTGCTTATTATGTGTCAGTCATTATACTATAAACTTTTCACAGATAATTTAATGTTAAAATCAATCCTCTGTGATTACTATAGGTAATGAAAGCAAAGGGAAACTGCCAAAGGTAAGCTGGGTAAGTTAGAGTTGGGGTTCAAACACAGAAATGTTCCACAGCAATGTACTGCCTCTAATTTAATTTAGCCACCCAAATAATTTCGTGAGGTATAAATGACTATATTTTACAGGTTAAGAAAACAGGCTCAGAAAACCATGGGATTACATAGAGTCCAATATCTAAGTTTTATCTGACTCCAAAACAGGTGTGAATCCAAGTTGTATAGGGTCCAAAGCTTTAAAGTTTCATGGACAACTCCTTAGGAAAAAGTAAAAATTAGGCATAGGGCCTTGAAGATTCTAATACAAGTGAGGGGTCCTGAAGCTACAGCTGTACTGGCTTCATGAGAAAACCACTTCTGCTCCAGTCTGCTCTCTTGTCAGAAAATATGAAGGGTTTTCAAGAAGTTAATGGAAAATGCGTATTACGAAAATACTGTGCACAGATTTCAAAGTTTTTTGGAATGAAATTTGTACTTTAATTCCACTTTTCATGAACTTCTTGATGTTCCCATGTATGTAGCAGAACTCTTACAGAATCACTGCAGCCCTACAAGATAGAGTTTAGTGTTCAATTTTACAGATGAAGAGCATGGGGCTTAAGGAAGCTAAGGAATTTAACTGACACTGCAGATCTAGCCAGGAGAATTGTAAAATATAGGAATTTCTTTTAAAATTCATGCTATTTACAGTTTACTAAGCTATGGTGGAACTGAAATCAGTTTTGGCTTAGAAGTTATTTTCAAACACTTTGTACAGTTATTGACAGTATTTTCCAATACTGCCCCGCATCTAAGCCTTCTACTAAACTTTAAATATAGTTCCATTCATCACTGTTAACAGTTTCCTTGTGTCATCTTAGGGAAAAGTTCTTCTTGCTCTCTTGCCTTACTCTTATTTAGCAATAGTGCTGAGATTTAAAACTGTTCATCCATTCTCTCAGAGATCACAGCCATATCAAAATTGTTCTCTATTTCTACTATTATTTATAACTCCAGCTTGCAAGCTTTTCCTATAACCCTTAGAATAGCGAATTCTACCAAAAGAAAGTCTCTTCTGCTTCATCAGAATGCTGACCAGGGCTGAGGATAGAGGTACTAAATATCTGTGAGCTGAGGGTATCCCAGTGATCAACTGACTCACTCACTGAAAAATGCTACATTCTGGGCATATCTTCCATGACAGTCCAGCAGGGTAGCTGTTGGAAATCCAAACATGTCCACTCCTGCTCTACGTCCTTAGTCACCGCCTCTTCATATGATTCTTCCATGGGCTGTTCCTGAGCACCTGAGGGGGAACAACAAACAAAACCAAAACAATATTCCTGATTCGTCAAAAAGAAATTAATTTTTAAAAAGTCAAAACCAAAACACCACCAACAAGAAAGGACAGGAAAATTGGTGAGAAAGAGAAAGTCATCAGGAACTCCAGTTTGGAGTGCAAGTAAATTGAAGAAAGCTAGATTTTCTGATGTAATATCATCACTTATAATGTCACTGCAACATGGGCCCAAATGAAGCTTTTTCCACACTGGCCACACAGATAAGGTGTCTCTCCTGTGTGAATTTTGCCATGCAGAACACAATTCCCCCTTGTGTGGAAACTCTTCCTGCATTGGCTACAGGCATATCGCTTCAGGCCTGTGTGGACTCTGATGTGAACAATTAAGCTTCCTTTCTGACTGAAGGCTTTTCCACACTGATCACATCTATAGGGCTTCTCGCCGCTGTGAACTCTTCTGTGAACAGCAAGGTTACTTTGATTCCTGAAGCTCCTCTGACAAATAGCACACTCGTAGGGTTTCTGTCCTGTGTGGAGTCTCTCATGGACGGCCAGACTACCTCGTTGACTAAAGCTTTTCCCACACTCCTTGCACTGATAGGGCTTCTCTCCTGTGTGTATTCGCTGATGTGTAACAAGATTGCCTTTGGCCCTGAAGCTTTTTCCACAGTGGGTGCACTCAAAAGGTTTTTGACCAGTGTGGATTCTTTCGTGTAATGTTAGACTACCTTTTTGCCGGAAAGATTTTCCACATTCTTGGCATTCATAGACCTTCTGTCTTACTCCAGGTGAATCTTCCTGTAGTGTCTTAGAATCTGGGGATTTTTGTTCCAGCTTCTCTCTTCTGAAAGAATTCTGGAAGTCCCAGCTTGAGGATCCTGTGGCCTCAGAATGATCATATTTGTGGTGGGTTTCTGTCATCACATCTGGTAAAATGAGAGAAGTCATGTAAGATGCACCAATATGCTGAGTGAGAATAGGGAATAAAAAAAAACCCTTTTGAGTGCTTATTATGTGTCAGTCATTATACTATAAACTTTTCACAGATAATTTAATGTTAAAATCAATCCTCTGTGATTACTATAGGTAATGAAAGCAAAGGGAAACTGCCAAAGGTAAGCTGGGTAAGTTAGAGTTGGGGTTCAAACACAGAAATGTTCCACAGCAATGTACTGCCTCTAATTTAATTTAGCCACCCAAATAATTTCGTGAGGTATAAATGACTATATTTTACAGGTTAAGAAAACAGGCTCAGAAAACCATGGGATTACATAGAGTCCAATATCTAAGTTTTATCTGACTCCAAAACAGGTGTGAATCCAAGTTGTATAGGGTCCAAAGCTTTAAAGTTTCATGGACAACTCCTTAGGAAAAAGTAAAAATTAGGCATAGGGCCTTGAAGATTCTAATACAAGTGAGGGGTCCTGAAGCTACAGCTGTACTGGCTTCATGAGAAAACCACTTCTGCTCCAGTCTGCTCTCTTGTCAGAAAATATGAAGGGTTTTCAAGAAGTTAATGGAAAATGCGTATTACGAAAATACTGTGCACAGATTTCAAAGTTTTTTGGAATGAAATTTGTACTTTAATTCCACTTTTCATGAACTTCTTGATGTTCCCATGTATGTAGCAGAACTCTTACAGAATCACTGCAGCCCTACAAGATAGAGTTTAGTGTTCAATTTTACAGATGAAGAGCATGGGGCTTAAGGAAGCTAAGGAATTTAACTGACACTGCAGATCTAGCCAGGAGAATTGTAAAATATAGGAATTTCTTTTAAAATTCATGCTATTTACAGTTTACTAAGCTATGGTGGAACTGAAATCAGTTTTGGCTTAGAAGTTATTTTCAAACACTTTGTACAGTTATTGACAGTATTTTCCAATACTGCCCCGCATCTAAGCCTTCTACTAAACTTTAAATATAGTTCCATTCATCACTGTTAACAGTTTCCTTGTGTCATCTTAGGGAAAAGTTCTTCTTGCTCTCTTGCCTTACTCTTATTTAGCAATAGTGCTGAGATTTAAAACTGTTCATCCATTCTCTCAGAGATCACAGCCATATCAAAATTGTTCTCTATTTCTACTATTATTTATAACTCCAGCTTGCAAGCTTTTCCTATAACCCTTAGAATAGCGAATTCTACCAAAAGAAAGTCTCTTCTGCTTCATCAGAATGCTGACCAGGGCTGAGGATAGAGGTACTAAATATCTGTGAGCTGAGGGTATCCCAGTGATCAACTGACTCACTCACTGAAAAATGCTACATTCTGGGCATATCTTCCATGACAGTCCAGCAGGGTAGCTGTTGGAAATCCAAACATGTCCACTCCTGCTCTACGTCCTTAGTCACCGCCTCTTCATATGATTCTTCCATGGGCTGTTCCTGAGCACCTGAGGGGGAACAACAAACAAAACCAAAACAATATTCCTGATTCGTCAAAAAGAAATTAATTTTTAAAAAGTCAAAACCAAAACACCACCAACAAGAAAGGACAGGAAAATTGGTGAGAAAGAGAAAGTCATCAGGAACTCCAGTTTGGAGTGCAAGTAAATTGAAGAAAGCTAGATTTTCTGATGTAATATCATCACTTATAATGTCACTGCAACATGGGCCCAAAGGTATCAGGACCCCACACAAATGAGTCCAGGAAGAAACAGGAGCTGGGAAAGCAGAGAACACATTAACATGTATTTCTTTCTGCCAATCCCAAGTTAATGGTCACTTCTGCTTGTACTTTTGTCTTGGCATGTGATTTGAACCTCCCACTCTTTTTCTCCACTTAACCACGTACTATTTTATCCTTCAAGCCCCAGAAAAATTCAAAATCTAAAAATTCAACATTTCAGCCTTCATGATTGGTTGGTTCCATGAAGGAAATAGCTCCAGCTCTCTTTTTCAGTTCCCCATAGGTTATAGGATCTAAGAAGGGATTTCATGTTACCCTTGAAAAATTCTTAGGAGGTTCCAGACCCAGATTCCCTCCTCTCCTACTTCTGAAGATATGAGAATACCAGTTCTAAGGAAGTACAGATACTTATCAATTCTTAGAAAAGGAAGACCTACCCTGGACTCCCAGAACAAAGCCCCAGACACTCCAAGTAGGCTAAGTAATTTGCCCAAAGTTCCAGTCAAGAGTGTTGGTGGAACAAAAATGTAAATCCAAGACTTTCTGGATCCAAAACCTACACTCTTTTACTCGATAATTCTCTAGTTTCTCATCACTAAAAAGCTGCTGAGAATTCTTATTTAATGAGACAGAAGGGAACAGTGTTTGACCAGAATGAATTATTTTTCCAGGTCCAAAGAATTCTCTTTTATGTGCTCTATTTTACCCTTTTCTACTTTTTATTTATTTATTTTGAAATATTCTTCCTTCCCTTAGGACTCTACTTACTGAATTGTAACTGTTTATGCAGTGGTTCAACATACTGTTTTCCCCTTCAATGTCCTACCAAAACACTGGCCTCCTCATTTAGTGGATGCTACAATTTTTTGTTTTGTTAGTCTAAGCACTTGGTTTTTCTTGACCACTACAAGTTGAGCTCCATGTAGTGATGACCACAAGTGGCATTTTAAACTCTTATTTGGAGGACTCATTTCCAGCTTGGTATACAAGTTACAAGGGAATCTCCTACCAGAGTGCCAGCACATCACTTGGGACCTCAAGGTACTACTGTTGTACAACTGCATATCCAGAGTCAGTGAAAAAGTACATGGCACATGCTACCTGGGGTTGGACTCTGTCACTGGGGATTCTAAAAAAAGGGAATTTAGTCAGAACAAGTCAGTAGAATTTACATTTATGCCCCACCACATGCTGTGGGGGCTTCAATAATTAACATCTCAGTAATTTCCTTGATTAATTAGGGGAACCTGGCATAGTGCTCAGCCTAGATCACAGGTGTAAGGAATCAGTTTTTGGACGATCTGAACAAAGTGGCTTTATGAAAGAAAATACTGCTTTTCCTATCAGAAAGGCTAATTTATCCTTTAAGAAAAGCTCAGAATTAGGCCCTGGGACATTTGGATATTTGCCTTGGCTCCTCCAGTATATGACCTTGAGCAAATAACTCAACAGTCCTCACTCCTGTCTTCCTTATGCAACAGGTTATCAGGTAGCTCCTGGGAGAATAAAAGAACCACACTGAGGGGTCTTCGACTCAGTCTGCGATTTAAGGCCTAAAATCCAGTATCCTCAGGTGGGGGACTAGCAGAGGGGATACATTTTGCCTTCTTGGGACCCTCCTGGGGGCTACTCCCAGGATGAGGAGCTTCTAGGTAGGGGTGAACTTGCCCACGCCCGACTCCAGTTTGCCCCTCTTCCTCTTCTCCACTGACGGGTCTGCTCTTCTCCCCTCCCTGGAGAGCCTACGCCTTCCTCCTAACCTCTCGGGAAACGCTCAGGCAAGCCGCCTACCGGTGGCCTCAACTCCCCTGGCCAGGGCGGGGCCTGCCTACGCACAGCCCGGCCGCGGCAGGTCCAGGGGCCCAGCTGCTCACGCGGACCTTCCCCCGCCTCAGGCCC